TGCATCCGCCTGTATTATGAAGGGCTTATCCATGTCTGGGTGCCTCAGTACTGGTTCGGCAGAAAAAAGTCTCTTTAATCTCTCAAACGCCGTTTGGCACTCCATTGTTCATGTTAGTGGCTGGCTAGGTTTTACTGAGGATGCTCCCTTCGTTTTTAGTAAGTTCGTGAGGGGCAGGACTATCTGGGCAAATGAGGGGATGAATTGGCGGTAAAAGTTTGCGAAGCCCAGGAAACTTTGCAGTTGCTTTCTTGTGCGGGGTGGTGCCCATTCTAATACTGCTCTGACCTTCTCTGGGTCCATTTCAATGCCCTGTGGGGATATGCGATAACCTAGGTAGTCTATCCTTTCCTGGTGGAATTCGCATTTTGATAGTTTGGTATATAGGTGGGCGGCTCACAGTTTCTTTAAAACAGCTCTGACTAGGTTGACTTGTTCCTCTCTTGATTCGGTGAAGATAAGAATGTCGTCTAAGTAAACCAGGACCCCCTTAAATAGGTGTTCCCTTAGTACGTCATTGATTAGTTGCATAAATACTGCGGGGCCCCCTTGTAATCCAAATGGCAAGACTTTGAATTGGTAGCACCCCATTGGGCAGTTAAATGCGGTCTTCCATTCATCCCCTTCCTTAATTCTCACGCGATAGTAAGCTTCCCTTAGGTCTAGTTTAGAAAAAAAAATTCCCTTTCGAGAGGTGTGACAACATGTCTTTCATGAGGGGCAGAGGGTATAGGTTGCTTTCACTGATTGTATTCAGGGCCCTATAATCCACGCATAAGCGTAAAGAGCCGTCCTTCTTCTCTCTAAAGAGGACCGGGGCAGCCACTTTAGGCTTGGCTGGCTCAATGAACCCCCTTTCTAAGTTTTTCTTTATAAATCTTTCCATTTCCTCCTTCTCCTTTGGGCTCATGGAGTATAATCTGGGCTTCGAGAATTTTGCCCCAGGCTTGAATTCAATGGCACAGTCCGTGGGTCGGTGGGGGGGGGAAGCTCATCCGCCCTCTCCTCACTGAAAACTTCAGCAAGATCTCTGTATTCCTCTGGTATTTCTGGCAGTCTCTTTTCCTCTCCCATGGATGCTTTTTCCGTTCTTAATTTTGGTAGCTCCCCTTGGGATTTTGGGAAATTGATTTCTGCCGTCCTCCAATTCACCCAGGGGTTCCATTTCTTTAACCATTCCATCCCTAGGATCACTGGGCATTCCATGCCTGGGGTCACTACAAACGTTATGTCTTCCTCATGTTTGCCCAGGGAGAAGTGGATTGGTAAAGTGGCTAGGGTAGCTGGCACCCCCCCTACTATGGACCCATCTAACTGGCCAAATGAGATTGGTTGTTCCAGTCTCCTCAATGGAATGCCCAGATTCCCCACTAGCGTTGGGCTAATGAGGCAGCGGGTGCAGCCAGAGTCTATTAAGGCTTTCACCTTCACAGCTTCGGGCATGGGGGGAATTAATATAGTCACTGTCTTGAGGATGGGTGCGATGGGTCCACTTACCAGGGGTTCGCCCTCCGAGCTGTCGTCTGAGGCGTCCACCGGCCCTGCGGTGTAGGCTGGAGTTCTTTCCCCCTGATGAGCAGAGGTGGGGGATTCCACAGCCTCCATCATTCTCATGGCAGGTTCTTTTGGCTTAGCTGGAGACTTCCCAGATCTGCTGGCCGGTGATCTGTCTGGGTTGTGCTGGGGGGCTTTTGAGCGGCATTCTACAGCCTGATGCCCCTCTCTCCCACACTTGAAACACCCCATTTGCTTCTTGGCCGTAGCCGATGGTTTCACTGGTCCACGTGTCAACTCAGGCGGTGAGCGGCTCCATTGTTTTCCTCGGCGGTGCCTCTTCAGTAGGTCGATCTCTGTTTCCTTTGCCAGGACGTACCATTCATCAAGTTGGTGTGGGTCCCCTCAGGGCAGGCAAGCGTCATATAGGTCATAGTTTAGTCTTTCTTTCAAATGGCTAAGGAGGATGTCTTCCGGCCAATTCAGTTTGCTGGCAATGGCCTGGAATTCTTGCGTATATTCGGCTACCGGGCGTTTGCCTTGCCTCATCGTTTTTATCCTTTTGCGGGCTTTGCAATCAGCCAGGGGGTCCTCAAATCGCCTTCTCAGAGAGGACATGAAATGGTTGAAGTCGTTGAGCTCTGGGGCATTGGAGTCGTGCAAGTTCACCACCCAATCTGCAGCTGGCCCGTCCAACGCAGATTGCACGATCCGGATACGGGCTTTGTGGCTGGGGATGTGCGCCCATATTCCTCCATGTAGCTGAGGACTTGGGTTAGGAAAAACCCCAAGCGTGTCGGCTCCCCCTTGAATCTCACGTCCAGCGGCAGGAGTCTTTGAATGGATCGGTGCCTTCGTTGTCGGTGGTAGTGTCTTCCATTCAGATCGCCATCTGCGGGTTGACTGGGAGTGGGGACTACTGGATCAGCAGATGTCCCCGGGGCTTCAGGTTCCACTTCCCCCTCGGTGTCTTTCCAGTTGCGGCTCCAGGAGCTGGGGCGGCCATAGGGCTCAGAATTCTCCTCTCCTAGGGAGCTGAGGGTTCTCTTCATCAGGTCGATAGCTTTCTCTAGGATCCAACCTGAGTACGGTGCCCAGCTCCCTTCCTCTTCACTTGCGTACAGGGATTTCCTCATCTCCTGCTTCCATTCTGGTTGGTTGGCCCCCCGTCTCAGGGTCACCTTTCTTGATTTCTTTTCCCACTCGCCTTTCTTTCCAATGCCCATTGACCACCGAGGTTTGTGGTTACGTGTCTCCACCACCTCTTCTCCTGAGGAATCTGACCTCTCAGATCCCGACATCTGGCAGGGTTTCAGTCGGGGCAGCGGCTCCCTTTCCGGGGAGTTTTCTCCCTTCCCTGCTCTATTGTCTGACATGGTAATTTTTGCAAAGTCCCCCAGCAAAGTTCTCCCTTCCAGGTGGACTAATTCTGCAGATCCTGTCTAATGTAAGGACCCACCCCACTTTACATCTTAAGAAGACAGAACTCTTGGAATATCTCTTCCAACAGGCATCTTTATTAAGAGAAGATGGTTGCAGGCGTTCTAGACAGGATCTGAGGGGCCAACCCCTACCATTCAATGTTTTAAGTGTTCCCAAGCAGCCCCTATCCCACCGTCCTTCCAGCGACGATCCCAGGCATTACATTTCCACCCCTTTTTCCTCACTGCCGGCAGAAGGGAGACTTCAGAGAGATAATAGATGAAAGGCTATGGCCATATTGTTATGGTCAGTCCTCTTGATAAGAATCACATCCAGTCCTTTGTAGTTTAAATGAAGGAAGTGAGAGTCATAAACCCCCTTGCTCCCTCCTCCCCTTTCGTAGTATGACAGAATCCACAAAGAGTAAGAAATGGATCTTTTTTCAGAGTAGGTAGCTAGAATTGAAATATAATTGGATTCTGACACCATGGCCCCCAGTTGCCCCAGGGCATCGCTTGCGTGCCAGAGAAGATTGGGTAAGGGCGGTCCACTTGAGGGGAGGCTGGGAGGGGCTGGGTTTGCCTTCTGGAACTCCTGGGGTTCTTTGTCTAGAGGGGCCCTTGGATGCCCTCCCAGAGGCCCATCACTAGCACCGCGCATCCCGGTGGGATCACTTCTTCCCAGGTAGACACTGGCCTCGTGACTGGGAGAAAAGGCTCTTCATTCCCCATCCCTCTGGATGTCCCTCCGGATATGTGGAACTATGCAGGTTCAACACTGGGGCTCGAGACAGCCAAAGAAGCCAGTTCGAATTCAGTGCCCAGCACCTTTGCTGAAGTCTGAGCTGCTCCATTGGCTTGACCAGAAAGAGGCTGCTGAGCTGGAGGGGGGGTTTCAGGTCTGTTCCTTTGGGAGTCCTGTCAAATGCTGGGTTGTCTTTGTGTCTATGTGTGTATGTGAGTGGGTGGGTGGATGCAAGAGAGCCAGAGAAAGGCCTGTTGGGTTCTTTTTTAAATTATGCCCAGTCAATTGACCCACAAGAGACACTAAAGCCCTGCATCCTGGAGTGGGGGCTTCTTTATGTCTCTGGTCTGTAACGGTTGGGAACAGGTTTTATTTTGTACAAACAAATGTATAAAAGTGATATGTGAGGACTTCCTATATTCCATTTTATTGCTTTCTCTATATTGTTTCTATGATAATCACTGTTGCAATATACCCTGACAATGCTTATACTTATTACTATTCAATTGCTACTATTGCTACTCCCTATTATTCTACTACTATTTCCTCTAAACTATGCTCTCCACTAGCCCACCTCAGGGCTTCTTTCTGAAGCCGGCCCTGTCTGCAGCGCCTGGGGGGGGGTTGTGCTGCTGCTCAGGGCCCACACGGGGAGCTGCCCTTTCCTCTGCCTTGGGCGCCTCTGGCTGGGCCTCCTTCTGCTTCCTTTGGTTCAGCTGCAGAACTCCACAACACACCTGGGTCAAGGTTGTAGTTTTGTGGGCAACTCCGCTGTGCTGCAGCTGGGGAGAAGGCTTGCATGGGGGGGGGGAAAAGCAACGGAGGGGCCGGCCACTTTGCCAGGCAGCCTGTTCTTCCACGAGCCCCTCCCCCATCCAGAAAGGCCAAAGGTGTTGCAACAGTTAAGGAAGCGCCATTCTCTGGGCAGCTCCCTTGTGGGAAACCTCTGTGCCCAGGAGGGCTGAGCTGGTTCAGGATGTTGCTCTCCTCCTGCTGCCCAGATTGAAGCCAAGGATGGTTTTCCAACTCAGGTGTGGAAACGGCTCAGCTGACCCAGCACTGGGGGCACCCAGGAGGACAGAGAAAGAGCTGCAGGGGGTTGGTGGTGCCAGGCACTTTTTGTTGTTTGGAGGGGATAGAGATTGATGAACGGGGTGGGGGATGGGATGGAGCAGAGGCAGGCGGAATGTCATGAATCATTTTCAGATTTAAACCTAACTGTCTTGAGGGCAAGGGGTGAGAGGCTGTTGATTCTGACTCCTGCCACCTATTTTCTGTGAGTGGCTTTCCTGTGGGCCGTGGTCCTCTCGAGGGGGTGGGGCAGGGGGCTTTATTGGGCCCTACTTCCCCTCCTCCAGGTGGGTCAGTTCATGTTCATGTAGGGCGCCCGTGTCCATCTTCTGGCAGGGGGAGAAGGGGAAGTGGTGGACCTCGATGAACAGCATGTAGGTCGCAGCTCCCAGGGCTGCTCCAACCATGGGGCCGGCAATGGGGACCCACCACCAGTTATGGCCAGCTCTGTGTGGGAGAAAAAAAATAGGCCAGTTTCATTACTGCGGATTTAAAAAGTTGCTCTAGGGGTACTTAATCTCACTAGTCACCAGCCCCCTTGGAGCCTGTATTTCTTGCCTAAAACCCACACAGTGACGTTGCTGAGTTGCAATATATGTATTTTAAGGGTCCACGGGAAAAAAGGTGCCAATTACATACAATTGTTTAAAGAAACAAGGGGCAGCAGGCAGCCGCTCTGCTTCCTCTTCCTGAGGCAACTGCATTGCTTCCGAGGAGAAGAATTTAGCGTGTTCAATCTGCAAAGTCCCCTTAATTTGGAAATGAATTTCCACGCAGGGCTAAAAGGTCGCCGATGCTAAAGAAAAGGGCCCTGGGCCCCTTCTGGCCTGCGAAGGCAGGCGCGTGGGCGCTGGGTCGCTCGCTCTGGTGAAAAACAGCTGCCGTGATTGGCCACCGGATGGCAGCCTTGCGACGCGCCGGCTCAGCCGAGGAGGCGAGGCCAGGCCGGACTGGCCCTACCGGGCAGCGGGAGCGCATTGCTACCGGTCGGCTCTCCGCCTGTCCTGCTGCTCCTGGACTCCGTTCCAGCTACGGAGGTGGGGGAGCCCCGCCAGCCTGCCCGGCTGGATCCTGCACAAGTCTTGCTCTTCCACGGATGGACGTGGGGTGGCCTCGGGCAAGAGGCTCCTGCTCAGCCTCCCAGCCCCCTCAGGGCAGAGGAAACGCGCGGCCAACTGAACCGCCCTCCCCCCGTGGAGGCCCTTCGGGGGGCTACGAACATATGGGTGGAGATGGCTGATGGTCAAAGGTGCCCCCCTGCCCGAAGCCAAGGACTCACGTGAAGACTTCGCCCCCCCACCCCGCCAGGTAGGTGAAGAGGCGGGGCCCCAGATCTCGGGCAGGATTCATGGCGCAGCCGCTGTTCAGGGCCATGGAAGAGGTCAGCAGTATGATGAGGAGGCCGATGGCGATGGGCTCCAGCCCCTTCGGGACCCCCAAGTTGTCTGTGTCGAAGATGGCGAAGACCCCCAGGATAAGAAAGGCCGTGGACATCATCTGGCAGAGAAAGGCAAGGGGTTCACCCCTCCCGTGATGGCCCCCAGGTTGGCTCCAGCCCTCGGACCTTGAAAGCAGCTGGCAGGGGAGACAGGGCCCCTCAGGTGATGATGGGAACCCTCTCTTGGCCCTGATCCCACCTTTTCCATGGAGGTGCCTTTTATTAGCCTTAAGAAGGCCCCGGCTTCTGTCCTGCTCCTTCCTGGGGCCCAGGGAAAGTCACAACCCCTCCCAAAAGAAGCAAAGCGGGACACCCGCCCAAGTAGCCCACCCACTCCTTACCTGGTCTGCAAAGCCATTGGTCAGGGACAAATATTCCTGAGGGTATGTTGCAAAAATGTGCGCTGTGGCGTTGGGTCCTTTGACAGCGAAGGTGCCATTGGTGTAGAACATGAGTGCGTCTGCGGAAGAAGCGACAGGAAGCAATGCTGGGCCCTTAGAAGGCAGCCTGGGAGAGGGGAGGGACGGCCCTCACAGCCCTCCTGGCCCCAGAAGAGCCAGGTCCCGAGAGAGGGACGGTCGGATCGGGCTTTGCAAGAAACAGGAAAGGACGCCTTGCTTAGATGTGAAGAACCCTTTTCCAGTTCTCAAACAAAACGCTTCTTGTTTCCTTCCAGAGCACTGAAGCCAGCGAACCTGTCTATGGGGATTCTCCGTCGTCCAGGTCCTGGTTGTCCCAAAGGTGCTTTTTCAAGGGGCAACTGGACTTCCTTGTTTTTCTTTGAAGATGTTTCGCTTCTCATCCAAGAAGTTGAAGAAGCTCTGAGCTGAAGAAGCTTCTTGGGCGAGAAGCAAAACATCTTCAAAGAAAAACAAGGAAGTCCAGTTGCCCCTTGAAAAAGCACCTTTGAAAGTGAAACTGGCTTCTTGGGCTGCAGCTGCCTTCGGGGCCGGGGCAAGGAAAATCTCTGCTCCAAAGCACCTCCTTGGGGTTTCCACAATGGACAAACAGTGCACAAAAATGGTCACAAATTCTGGCTCGTCTGGGGAAAAAGAATCACCTAATTTTGCAAGAACGTTTTTGGGTTCCTATATGAAATCCCAGCCAGGGCGAAGAAGGCGGCCCTCTTCCACTCACCGTAGTTGATGCCAAAGACCGCAACAGCTCCGAGAAAGGCACCCAGATATTGTGCCAGGACGTAAACGGGGAATTTGGCCCATTTCATCTTCCCAGTCAGGCACATGGCGAAGGAGACGGCTGGATTGATGTGACCCCCTGGAGACGAAGGGAGAAAGAGCCTGGTGGATGCCCCCCTCTTGGTCCCTGGGATCCCTTCTCCAGGTTGCTCAGCATGAGCTGCCACGGAGGTGATCCTTGGGTTGGGTCTCCTGGGGAGGTGGGCTCCGCCGAGCCCCCATCCCAGGACAGGCAGGGCAATCCCGGAGGTCTCGTCATAGAGCCCATGCTGGACCACCCCCCAGCAATTGCCCGGGCCATGGGGTGGGCAGGCGGGTGCTTGCCGGGGGCTCTCTAGGACTTCTCCTGACAGCCTGGTTTCCAGGGAGGAGGTCTGAGGTGGAGAGCATCCCATCACCCAATTTCCTCAATACCCTTTGGAATGGCACTTGGCAAGCAATAGCAGATAAATCACTGCACTTCTGACATGCTCCGATGAAGGTTGCCTTGGGGGAGCACTGGGGATGACTGCTTGACCGGGATATATGTCTGTCACCTGAGATATGAAGCCCTCTCTTGGCTTCAAGAGGTGACATTTTCATTGTCTCTTTTAAGGCCTGATTATTTATTTATGGGATCCAATTATTTATATCCTTTACGTCCTGGGTGAAGGTTAATGGTTTATTTCAGAAGACCATCCACGGATGAATAAGAGAGAAGCAGTACTTGCTGTGGATCACCAGAGACTCAGTTTGGGCAGACGGGGGTCACGGCCGAGGAACAAAACAGGGCTTTTGGAATCGGGTTCAAGATCACTGGATCTGCAGACATCCAGCCCCGGGCTTCCAATCATGGGGCAGGAGTTTTGGCAACACCCCCCCCCAAATGTGGGTATCCAATGTCATTTGCCACAAGTTCTGGAGCTCCGAAGGAGGCAGACCCAAGCAGGGGCTCCTCCAGCTGAGCCCTTGGGGCCCCTTCTCCCCCTCCGAAAGAGCCTCTGACCCCAAAATTTTCTTGGATTGCAGGCATAACTAGGTCTTGTGCTGGGGGGGGCTGTTTTCCCAGGGTGCCTTTGCAGGGCCAGATTCTTTTCTCTCTGATAAGAAAACCATGCAAGGCCAGGCGAACCAATTGCCTGCGCTAATGGAGCTTGGCCCTCCCCCAGTTTGGTCTGGCATGCTCATTTCTCCGCATCTCTTTGCAAAAGGTGAGAAAACAGAGGGCAGACATTTTGAAAGATCCCAGTTTGAAATCTCTCATCTGCTTCCATTGTGCCACAATACACCTTTTAGCTCACAGACACAACCGCTCTCTGCACCGGAGACTTTCCTGAGGCCCCCTTGCAGCCTTTATGAGATGCCCTCTGAAGCCGCTTTGTCCTTGGTGTGCCAAACTTGCTTTCCCCAACCTGAGACTAGCACATCTGAAGGCTGCTCTTCTGTGCTAGGGCTGGTGGAGGCTCCCCACCCTTTGCTGCCCTCGGGACCCTCAGAGGAAGGAAGGGCTGACCTTCTGAGCAAGGGGCTGAAGCTCCAGCTGCAAGAATGAGGCAGCCGCCCACCCCTCCTTTTCCCAAACTGATGGGTGGCAAATGCCAGCTTACCAGAGATGCCCCCGGCCACGTAGATGGCAAGGGTGACGGCCATGGCGAAGCCAACAGAGATCATCAGGGCTCCTCCCAGGGCCCCTCTGCTCAGGACCGTTTGTGCCACGCAGCCACAGCCCAGGGCCTGCGGTTTCAGAAAGAGACGGGTGAGAAAAACTGCTTCCCACCAGCTGAGCAGTTAGGCCTTCCCATTTTGGGGGGCCCTTCACCTTTTCACCCAGGTGGTACAAAGACCCTCCTGGAGCCGTTTGTTGTTTGTTGCAAAGACTGTGCAGAGTTCTTTGTGACTGAGATGCATTTTTACACCACTCAAAAACAAATTATCGTCAGCCAGAGACAGCTTGTATCTCCCACCCACCAGAGGTCCCCCCTGCTTGTTTCTGTGGGAAACAGGCCCCTAATCCCTAGAAGCGGATTCTTTCCAGGTGGCATCATCTGAACATCTTGCCCTGGACTAAAGTGTATGTGTGTGTGTGTGTGTGTGTGAGAGAGAGAGAGAGAGAGAAGCAATTTGTCATTCTTTTAAGACTACATAGGGCCTTTTGCATATCTTTGCTTATGGCTCTGAGGTGCCATAATTTTTGTGCATAATTTGTGTCAGACAAATATTTGTTGGATGAAAACCCCCTTTTGTTTAACAGGAAGGCTCAAGATTAATGGTTCTGTGAACAAAAGGTCCAGATTCTCCGGCACTGCAGTGGCTGCTTGCAGAAAAGATTTGGGGTTTTATGGAATGGATTTATATTTAGACCTTTTATCCATATTGTGGTTAAATTCTTTCTCTTTTAATCAGTCACAATGATTAAATCATTTGGGAGCCATTAGGCAAAACGGGGTGTGGTGCCTACAGTTTAAACATGCCTATTTTGTCAGCCTGAAAGCTCTTTTGAGAAGAGGGGGCTACTCAGAACCTTTTCAGTCAGGACCTCTGGAAGGAAAAAAATGATTTAGAAGGAAGGTTCCTCCATAAAATAGGAAATGGAGGCCTCTGGGCTTGCTCCAGAGCGTTTCCCCCCTGCCCCTCATGGCGCCCCAAGAAGAGGGGAGGGGAGGAACTTCTGGGGCATTTTGAACAGGCTCTGCTAGACAAGTTAATTATAAATAAGTAACTAGAGGCTTTTGTAAGCTATAGATCGACTTTATCAATTTATTTATCTGATTTACTTGCTGCCCAGGCAATCTTTTCTGCAAAAAGTAACATTTCTTTTAACCGCAGCCAGTGAGAGCCAGAGGGCTCCCGCACAACCCTGCAGGAGGCAAAGGGCTGCTGTATAAGACAGGCTGGCCGGAGGCGCCTCTGACTCTGTCCTGGCAAGGGAGCCCCTCCCGGGGAGCAAGGAAGGTGACTGGCACCCGGACAAGGGTCCTGGGGGGAACAGAGTTTATCATTAGCATAATAAACAACACACCTAGGATAGCCAATGTATGGTAATGAGGTAGGAGTAACTAGTATGATGTATTATGGGATGGCTTTGCCTTATGTGTGTGTGTGACTGTCATGTAACTTTGTAACCTTGTAACCAATCAGCAATTCTTTTACTTTTCTTTCCCCTGCTCCACTGTATAAAAACAGCAGCCTGATTGGTAGTGGGCTCCTTGGGTAGGAAACGCAGAGCTTCCCCTACAAGAATTTTCCCCTTCCTCACCCAGGATGACCCAGCATCAGCTGCCAGGCAGCTGGGCTGGCTGCCCCCTCCCAAACTGCCTCAGCTCCTCCCCCACTGGGTCCCTGCAGACCAAGAGGCCTTGGGGGATTGCGGGAAAGGAAGGCACCACTGCCCTTCAGGCCAGTGTTGGGGAGCAGGACCTCAGATGAAGGAAAGGGTTTGTGTGTGAGAGAGCAGAACATTATCTCAGCCCTTCATGAAATTTGGAACTTCCCAGGATGCAAGAAAACCTTCGCCTGCAAGTGAGGTGATGGCCTCTGATGGCCACAACTCATCTAGTCGAAAACGTGGCTGTCTGGAATTGCAGAGAGTAAGGAAGGTGACCTTGAGGGAGATAAGCGACAGGAGCTACCTAAGGACACGTGCCCCCTCCAAGCCCCTGGCCACCACCGTGGCCATTGGATCTTCAAGACTTTCTGAGCAATTATCAAGTGGTCAGGAGGGGGGCACTAAAAGGGAGGTGGTGGTGCTGCTGGTGGCTATAATGCCTTTCAGTGGCCTGAGCCATCTTTTCTAGGCAGATATTCCTGTGTCCTCTGGGCTTCCAAAGGAAAGTTGTACATCTGCATTCCACCCTGATTGTATAAAAGCTGGTGCCAAGCCAGCCTTGGGGTTGTGTCTCAAGGCTTCTGATGCCGAGAAGAGATTTCTTGCAGCACTCCCTGGGCCACACGTTGGCAGCCTATTTTCCCAGCCGTTTCCATCCCTCCCCTTAATTGAACCCGGAGCCAGCCTTGGAATGGGCCAGAGGGCAGAGACTGGGGCGCCAAGCAAAAAGGAGCCGTGACAGAAGAAGCTGCTGGGAGGGAGGGATTTCTCTGTGGACTGAGAAGAAACCAAGAGAGGGGAGAAGAAAGCTGGACATTGGGCAAGCGACGTATTCTTGGGCAGGTGCACCATCCGAGCATCAGCAGGCTCCTTTTGGGCATGGCAGTGGTGTGTTCCCTCTCCTGCCTCGATTTGTCTTGAGAAACAAGTTAAAACAGAACTCTCCAAATGGTGGAATCGCCAAAACTTAGGCTTTCCACGACCTGAGGGCCCCAAGCTGTCAGCAAAGAGGCATCAAATCAAATAGGCATTAAATCTGCTTTGCATCTGCCCACCACCCACACATGATCCGTCTTTGCTCTCACAACAAGCCCACCTGCAGGAGGAACTGAGCAGAGGAGAACATTGTTGCATTGGGCAACAAGTTAAAACAGAACCTGCAAGGGTGAAATCACCAAAAATGAGGAGCAAACAACGGCACCATCAAAGAGGCATCGGATAGAGCAAGTATTAAGCCTCCAGCCCAGCGTGTAGGGAAAGAGTCTGCCAGCCAGGTGCCATCCCAATGGAAAGACCCAGCGCCGTAGCTGGTGTGGGTCTGGGGGCGTTCTGCTGACATCAGTCCCAGGACGCTGCCGTCCCCTCTGGGGTCCATCTTCCTGGGCTCCTTCTCTTTCTGTCTCAGAAAGTCGCCCCAACCCCCTCCCCCTTTTCTCCTCCTGGACATGGGGCAGCCGGTAAAGGAAAACAAACTTGCCTCTGCTTGGCTAACCTTTGACTCTGACTACACAGCCCCTGTGTCTCCTGCTGCCTGTTTGAGGTAGGGGGGGTTGGGGGTCACCTGTGCTGGAAAGAGCTAAGTAGATGTCTGGGAAAGGATTGGCCTGGAAAGAGGCTCCCCAAAGAGGCAGCTCTGAAGACCGCAGAGACCAGGCTACAGAATCAAGTTCTGGCCCTTTGAGAACCCAAGACAAGAACTCGGGTACCAGTTGGGCAGAGCAAGGTCTGCCAGGGGCAGGAGCCCCCCCCTCCATATTTTCCAGCATGAAATCATCTTTCGACCCAGGCAGTTCTTGCTCGGAGCTGATTGTGAAATTGAACATGGATTCCTCAAGGGGGCAAAGAAGCTTGTGAAGTGCTTTGCACAAGCATGGTCTGCATTTGTTTCAGGTGGCATAGGGGGAGACTTCCCAAAGGGTGGGGGTGGGGGGCTGGCTGGGGAGAGGAGGGTGGCTGCTTGGAAAGACAAGGCCCACCAAGAGATGCGTCTTCAGCCACCGGCTTAGCTGCAAATCAGTTGTCCTGTTAAAACCACCGGATTCCCCGTGACTCTCAGGTTGTGGTCTCTGAAGACAGAGGCTTACTCCAAGGAGAAGCCAGCCTCTGCCACAGGCCAAAGGGGGCTTCCACAGCCTGGATTTTGAGACTCGTCCAGATGGGCCTCCTCCTTGATCCTGTCATGGGTGCAGCTCTGAGCCCACCCATCTTGCTCTACCCCCAACTGCAAGGTTGAAAGGGAAAACCTCTCACACATTAGTAAAGCAAATAAATGCCTTTAAACAAAGGTCAGAATCAAGCCTGCAGCTTCACCCTTTCATGGCTGTGGCCTTGTCCGTTGCTGGGATGAGATCCTAATGTAAACAGAAATCTCAAAGGGTGGACTAACAGGAGAAGGGCTGCTCCCTGGCACTTTGGCTGCTTCGTTTTATGAGTAATTAAGTGAAATGTAGAAATATGCAGAGCTACGAACTCTGTGCCTCTCAGAAAAGTCTGGATTAGCTTAGAATAGGAGGCACTCTTTATTCCAAGGAGTTTGCATTGCAACTCCGGTCCTCCCAAGGAGCCAAGCAGGATCCTGTCTTGAGCAAGTTCTCCAGAAGATTATTCAGGGTCCCAGGGGACCCTGTCTTCATGGAGCCATGGCACAGTCTGGATGGTAGCTGCACCCCTGAGCAAGTCCTGTGTCTGCCTCTTGGGCTGACCTTGCCAAGGGCAACTCGAGCCCAGAGCCCAGCTGCTTTTGTCACCTTGAAGGGGAGGCCAGGCCTGGCAGCGGCTGAGAACAGAGACAGGAGAGAGGTGGGTCATGGGAACAGCCAAGTCTATGCCAGTCTAGCTTTCTGCTGTCTGACGGTTGATTAATGAGCAGTTCAACCAACCCCTCAGACGCCCCAGGGATGTTGTGGTTTATCTTTCCTGGTTTGCAAGAATGTCTAACATCCGTTGCTGATGGACGTGAGAAAAAGGGGGTGCTGCATTGGCACTCGGGGCTGTAAATGGTCCGTCGTGGTTTCTGATGGAACGGCTCCTCTCAATAGGGCAGGGACCGAATTTTACACCAGAGTGGAACTGGCCTGGGCACATCACCCCCTTGTTCGTATTTCCCTCCGTAGCAGAAGCACCCCAAGACAGTCGGAGGCCTGGGATAGAAACAGGCTCAGGTCTTCTTCACAAAGCTGGCCAAACTAGTGCCCACCCAACAAGCTGCAACAGCAATTTCTGTGTACATTAATTTCTGAGCAACATTTCCAGCACCCTTCGCCGCGCCTGGTTTGGAGGCCACCAACCTCGCACATGGGAGGGAGGGAAGGGGCCCTACTTACAACCAAAATGAAGGTCCCCAGGAGTTCGGCCAGCACTTCCTTCAGCAGGTGGTTCTTGAGGGCCATTTTTTCTTTCAGGCTCTTTCCTGCTTTCTTTGTCATCCTGACGTCTCCTCTTCTTCTTTGTTCTGACTTGGAAAATGTGCGGTCAAATGTGTGTCCCTCTTGCTCTCTTGAGCTTCAGCCCACTCCTCATCCAAGGAAGGCAGGGAGCCCCACAGCTGCGGTTCTCACAATGCCCCGACCAGCCTGGGGGTCTCTGGGCCTCCCTTTGCCTTCCCGGATCACTCTTCAAGAGACCCCATCCGGTGCTGCCCTCCCGGCATGCGCCAGGCTATTTATAACAGGCCGGAGATAAGGCAGGGCAGCCCCTCACTTGCAGCACAATTGCACAAATAACACACACACACACACACACTGATTGTGGTGGCTAAAACCTGTGAAGGTGCAGGAGAAAAAGGAGAGTGGAGAAAGGAAGCCTGTCTTTATATACCTGCCACAGGCCGGCCGGTGATTGGCTGGTGCCACAGAGCCCTTCAAGGCTGCCAAGAGGCGTGTTCAGGCACACCTAAGCCACAGGTTCCACTCCTGGCTTGGGGGCACAGGCTGTCTCCTTGCCCTGGTGAGAACATTTAGACCCATTTCTCTGGCCCCAAAGCATGAACCTCCCAGCAGAAAGCCACAAGAGGCTGATTCTCTGCCAGCAATCTGCACGCTTCCCTTAGCCATTGCCACATCTTGTGGCAGGGAGTTCTATAGGTGAATTCTGCACTGCCTCACCTCCTTTTGTTCCTGAAACTTCTCTCAATGGTTTCATCAACGAACCCTGTATTCTAGATGCGGAGAAGGGGAGAAGCCATGTTTTCTATGTCCTTGTGACAAGGATGGTTTCGTAACTTCTTTGATCAACATTGATTTTTCTTGGCTAAATAAACAGAAATGGGACATTTTCCCACTTGGAAGGCAAGCAAAGCAGCTTCTCGTGACTCACTGCAGGCATGTTTTCACTGTCTCCAAAAATAAAGAAGTTCAGTGGCGAGTCTGCTGTCCATTTACGTGAGGTTTCACTCAGCCTTTCCTCACAGTTCGCCAGAGGCACAGAGTGGTCCAGCTCCAGCACGGAGGCAGGGTCCCTGCATCTGGCTGGGAGAGGGGCAATTCCAAGCAGGCCCAAGGAAACCTTGGCAGATGGGGGCCGCGGGGTCCAAAGGCTGCAGCAGCTGCATTTGAACCCTCAGTGATCGACGGCTCTACAAGTCCCAAGCACCTCCAGATGCGCTTCTGCCTTCCTGCACTCCCACCACGTTGCTGTGGGAATTTCCCCACCCAACGTGCCAGAAAGGGGAGCAATTTTCTGCCCTTTTGGGGAGCTTCACTTTCCTTTTGTGCACGGGGTGGGAGTGCAGGGCGTGTGCAAAAGTTTAATGTTCATGTTTTTCATGATGGAAGTGCAGATACTGCTGGGCTTGTTCTGTTTGCTCCAGTTTGCAGTTTGCCTCCGGTTGCTGGGCTGGTGTCAAAGGAAGCCGGCCGTGAGGGATAAACAAAACAAAAGGAAACGTCCTGCCTTTGTGACCCTGCCACATTTCCCATCACCTGCCTGGGCCCTCTTTTCCTTCCTGGAACAACAACTGCAGGGGAAAAGGGCCAAAGAGCTACTCCCCCCCCTCTCTGCCGCCCTTGGGCCTACATGCCAGGCACTGCTGCTGCTGCCAGAAAGGAAACTGAGTCTCCTTTCCTGCCCCTGGCCTTGGGTGGCTCAGCCCCTCCCGCTGGCCTGGCCACCTCTTTTGCCCCAACCAGCCTTGTGGGGGAGGCCAGGCCTGGCCAGTGCCTGGCCCTCAGTGGCACAAGGGGGGGTTGCCCATGCCCTGCCTCCTCCCTATTGCTGGAAGAGGGAATCAGGGCAAAGAAATGGGGCCTTGCCAGCAGAAGCCTTGGCTGCCATTAAGGCTTAATGACTGTATTAATTGAATATGTATCTTTGCCTAATTAGATGGAAGACTTATTCCTTTGGTTGAAAGGATAAAAATAAAAAAATTAAGTGGGAGAAGAAAAGGGAGCATTAGCAATGATGAATGGGGGGGGGGGAGAATGGGATTTTCAGGGAGTACAATGGTTAATGGCATCTGCTCAATTAGACAGTGTCCATTAGCCAAAAGGTCACCCCATTTCCAGGTTTGATGCATTTCTCTGAGAGTAAATTTGAGGGGGACAAATGAGGGGGAAGTAAAGAAGAGCTGAAAATGGGAGAAGCAGCAAGGCATTGCCAAGCAGCAGTGTGGCCCTGGCTGTTTTTCTGCTCTGACTCTGGCCTCTGGAACTCCCTGCCTCATGCTCAGCACTATCAATCTTTCATGTTTGAAGGGCAAAGAAAAAGCAAAGCTTACCGCAAGTGACCATCCTGGGCTCCATAAACAGGTATCTCCCTACGTTCTTTGTCTGCTGTCCCTTGGCGGATGTACTTGTAACACGTCCTTTGCGGGGGGGGGGTTGAGGGGAGAAGCAACCAAGAAGCAGGAGTTGCAAAGCCAGCTCGGCCTTCTCAACTCTCCTTGAGATCCTGACGTGCAACTGTTGAGGGGAAGCTCCCATCAGATGTGGGGACATGATTTCCAGAGGGCGCTGGAGATGCTGGGGGAGGAGAGGGACAGAGCTAAAATGGCCTTCTGTGCTGACCTTTCAGCCCCCACCCCGAGAGGGCTTGTGGGAGGCTGGAGCTGCTCCCCAGAGGAGGGCAATGGGGGAACCCCTGGCAGAGGCAGGAATCCCCAGGTGTCATCTCCTCCTCCTCCTTCCTGGTGTGCCCATGGGCGTCCTCTGCTCGCCAGGCCCTCTGAAGGCGGGGGGGGGGGAGGGACCGGAGGAGTCGCCTGTGCCGGGGCCGCCTCCCTTTGCCTCCCTCATCCCCCGAGGGAGCCTGGGCGGCCAGACCGGTGGAGCTCTCCATGGTGCTGGCCGGGGAGCCCTTCGCTCAAGGGGGCTTCTGCCCCGACGCGCCAATCGCCCCCCCGGAAGAGCTTTGCTGGGCCTGACAGACCAGGGCTCCGCTCCGAGCAGCCTCGGCTGGTGGCGGAGAGGGGGCACTTTGGGGAAATCCTCCCCCGTCGTCCAGACTCTCGACTGCGGGGAAAGAGGCCCTGGAACTTCTCCGCAGGCAGAACTCCCAGCCTCGACCCCCCCCAGCCTGAAACCGCGGCGATCCCCCCGATTCGGTCTCCTAAGAAGTCCCCCCGACGCGCGTAGCTTCTGTCGGCCGGCCTGCGCCTGCCTGGCCTCTGTCTAGTGATGCCGGCAGCAGCCCAGCCTTGCGCTCCGACAAGCGCCGGGAGTACGGGAGCTGCGGAACCCGGGAGCTGCTGCTGCCCGAGTAGGCCCGGAGTCTAGAAGGGGGGGGGGGCGCCCAGGCTGCCAGGGCAGGGCCGACTTGCTCATGCAGGGGCAGACTCCCCCGGAGATGCTGCTTCTCCTTCAAGAAAGTTCCGGAGGAGCGATATTTGGGCCGGGGAAACCCCTGATCGGCCGCGCCTCTGGCTCTCCCACGCAGCTGTCATTTGCAGCCAGATGGTGACTTGCTCCGAAATCTCCCCGGGTTCAGAGGCACTTAAAGAATTGATTCAATTAACGCGTGGAAGGGAGGCCAGAGGGGTCCTTTATCCTGGCCCTACACTTAAATCACACGTCACTTTGGAAAGCAAAGGAATTAATGAGGGATAATACCCAAAGCTGAAATACCGAAGCATAAGAGAATATAAGAAGCACCGGGATGTAGGAACTATTTTGCCCGATCTAAGATGGAGATGGAAGTTTCATCTGCCTTTCAAAGATAGACTGCCTTTGAAGCGGGGGGGCGGCTTCATTTTACTATTTGTCAGATCCTCCCTCAAATGTCCCCTGAATGAGTTTCTTCCTTCTTTCCTTCCTTCGCGGTGTCCATCACTTCTCTTCCAAGTTAATGAAATGATCTTCATCCCCTCTGCAAATCTTGATGTCTTGTTCCTCACCCCCCCCCCCAGACGGCGGAAAAATTGGAGAGCCCCGCAGAGGAAGGCACCCCGCTGAGACCAGGGCACCGAGCAACGCGCTTCATTCCGCAGCCAGCCGGGAGAGAAAGGCCACTTCCATCCACGTCCAGCAGAGGGCAGCAAATGCGCAGGAGATGCCGCGGGTGGCGCTGCGTCCAGGTTCGGGAAGGCTGGGCTGGGCTGGGCGGCCTCGTCCACCTGGGCCAGGCAAGTCTTCCAGGGGCCCGAGCCGGTGGCCCCCAAGACCTTTGGCTCGCTGGCAAGCGGGCACCCACGGCGGGCACGGAGTGCGGACCATGGAGGAGAGTTTCTCTGTCTTTTCATGCAGGGAGACATCGAACTCTGGAGGCCGCTTGGCGATTCTCAAGATAAAACGGCCCTCGTAGTTCCCTACGCTGGCCAGGAGCGGAGGCCAGCGAGAGCCAGAAGCCCCCCCCCCCGGTTGGGGCAGAAGGCCAAGGGGCTTCCCTGCAACTGCCCCCCTCCCGAGCCTGAGGGGACAAGTTTCCTCCCTGCAGAGCGGGGTGCAAACAGCAGGGCCCCTTCGCCCCGATCCCGGCGCTGCTTGGGCCTTTGCCCCCACTGCCAAGAGGCCGCCCCTCCTCTGGGTATCGGCCATTTCTGCTCTTCTCCGTTGCCCCCGCTGCCCGAGGCACCTTCAAGCAGACCCATTTGCTCTGCAGGCCCAGGGCTAGGGGTTGTTCCTGCATCTCGGGCAAGGGTGTCTTTTCCCCTTTCTGGGGTGCAAAGGGGAAGAAAACCTGATTTCCCCTCTTTGTTCCTTGAGGCTCAGAGGGATCTTTTCCTCATCTGTGCTGTAGCTATACTGTTTATTCTCAACTTCATATTTGTTCCCATGGGATCTTCCCATTTTCAGAGAGGAAACTGAGGCTGAATTCCAGCACTCGCTTGGTGGAGACGGCCATGGGAGATCCGTACAAGAGCCGCACCAGAATTTTGCACAGCCACCAACTGCATTGAGAGCGCAGTTGCACCCTCGGAGAGATTTTCTGGGTCTGACATCTTGATGACTTTCCTCCCCCACCCGCAACGAGTGCTTAATTAGACGGCTTGTAGGGAGCCCCTTCCCCTTCTGCAGCCTCTGCCCGTCTCCGGCTGGCTTTCGGCTGCGCTGCATGGAAGACCCAGGTGCTAATTCTCCTTTCATTATCCCGAGGAAGCGTTCTCCTTTCTCTGCTCTCCAGGAGCCCCTGTTGCACCTTCCTCGCTCTCCCCTTCCTCCCATACGGGCATCCGAGGAAGCCCTGGAGAAGAGAGGGACGCTGCCTGGACTTGACTGCCAGCCGGGAGGAAGACCTGTTGCCTTTTGAGCCCCCTCCACGGGCGGGGTGGGTGGGGGGCAGAGGGACTCTTGTAAACGGAGAGCCTCCATTCTAGGTAGGACGGTCCGGCCTCTTTGGCCCTGCCCTCGGGGCCTATATAAGAAGCGGCTGCCTTAACACCTGCCTAGAGGAGAGCGGCCACATCTTCAGCACTCGTCTTGGGGGACGGGGAATAACGTAGATCAACTCTCTCTGTCTCTGTCTCTCTCTCTCTGTGTCTCTCTCTCTCTGTGTCTCTCTCTCTCTCCCGTCATCATCATCTTCAGCCAGATAACGGGGACAGAACTGGAAAGAGCTGGAAGAGACAGAGGCGGGAGACGCGATGACTTCAAGCAAAATTGAGATGCCTGCTGGAATGAAGGCGGATCCGGCGGCTCTGATGGCTTCTCTGCACTTGCTGCCTTCTCCCACCCTCAACCTGGAAATTAAGTACACCAAAGTAAGTGGCCTTTTTTACTTCTTTCCGGGAAGCCCTTTGGCTGCTGGCTGGCAAATCGGAGCAGCCTTCAGAGGGATCTTCTTTGCTGCAGTTCCCACCAGAGCTTCTTTGGAGTCCGTGCGCGAGTAGTTGATGCGATACTGAATCAGAGAGGGAGACCCACACCATAATTTAAAGTCACCCAGCCTTCCTTTTAACTTACTGCATCAGATTTTTCTGTTTCCAAGATTTTTTTTCTTTCTTTCTAAATGTCAGTTGTTCCAGATGAGTCTTAGAGGAACTTATTTGTTCCTTTGTCCAAACCCAGTTCTTTCCAAATAAAGCTGCAAATGTTTTCTCTTGTTTTCTGTTTAAACCGGTCATTGGACCCCTTGGGCTTTTCCTTTAGCATTCCTGTAGGAGATGCAATCCAGTCAAGTCTGGCAAATTTGGAAGAAGTCCTCCTTCGCTGAACTCCTTCTTAAGAAAATATAATGCAGAGACTGATCAGGGAAATGCTCATTTGTTTATTTTTCATCACTATCAAGGTTCATCTTGAGGTCCCAAGTCTTTGTTTTATGTATTTATACATGAGGCAGACTTGGAATTTTTCAAAGGTTGAGATAATTACCCCAAATTGACGTTCGATTGGCGGGTTGAAGTTTGCAACTTTCTGGCTGTGAATTCCTGTTTATATTACTTGATGATGTTGGGCATGATCTTCTGGAAAGATTCCTTGCAGAGGTTTCAAGCTGATTTCAACTGGGTGAAATTTTGCAAGAGATGATCCCACTAGATCATGGCCTAAGATCAAACTTCCCTTGTTCTCTAATCCTGAAATGCTTTAAAAGGCGATTCAATGCTTCAGACTTGGAAAAAAATAATCACACTTGAAGTTAAAAGAGTTAAAAATAAGATGGTTATATATGGGGTGTTTTTATTCCTATTTGCTGAAAATATCATTTTACTTTCAAATTGAATTTCTGCATTTATTTATTCATTTCCCACTTCTTTTCAAAATTAAGAAATAGCTAGGCTAAGCAGATTTAAAAGCCTTTTTGTAGCCCTGCCGATCATTTTGATCAATTATCCACATTCATGTTAAAAATAGATCCTTCAGTTAGTTTGCAGTAATTTTTTTAACACCCGTTGTAAATCACCGACCAGATTCCAGAGAAGGGATGCATTGACCTCAGTGAGAGGTGTGTTTCAGGTAGATTGTGGCTGCAGTGAACTTTGCCAAAGCAGCTTGTAAGTCCTCTGGAGATCACTGCGGTGTGTGGCTGTGGATACATTTTCCCTTGGATGTCTACCACATTTGCTTAATTCTTTTGTCTGAAATGGTATAGGTTTCCTGCTTGAGCAGGGAGTTGGACTAGAAGACCTCCAAGGTCCCTTCCTACTTTGTTATTCTTTCTATTTAACTGTTCGTTTTAACTGGGGGGACCAACATTAGTGCTCCCCTTTTTTTTCATCACTTGAATCTCTCCAAGTGTCTTGAAGCATCTCTTGAGGTCCCACCTTCTTCTGGTATCTTTCCTCCTATAGATGTCTACAGAGGGGCAAGGTGGTTGCCCTGGCATCTGGACAGCAAAAGGAAGGTAGGGCTGCTGGTCCAGCCTTGCAGAGTGCCAGGCAGTCTTTCTTGGGGGAGAGCTCTGGCCTTGGTCCTCCACTTCAGAATTGAGGTTTCCAGCTGCTTGTTTTATGTAGGAGGAAGAAAAGGTTTTCTGCTAATTCCTCTTCGGGGCCGGGGACTGACGGCTGCACTACACATCCTAGCGTCCTCCTCCGTGGGTTGTTGGTTGTGACAGATGGGGTGCCTGGCATTATAACTTAGCACATTTGGAGGGGCCAGGGGCTCCTGCCAGTGAGGCTATGTGAAGCCAGATGGGCAAGCCTCCTGCGTGGTAGAACCAGAAGAGGCAAAATTGCCACCCAGGTCTGTTTCAAGGGGACCTTGATTCTGGAGACTTAGAAATGGGGGTTGAGTTGGTGCTGAACCTCCAGAGGAGGGAGGTGGCCCAGGAGGAAGATCAAGCAAGGGGCAGAGGATGGTCAGGCTGTCCCGGGACCATCCAAGCTGAACCAGGTGGGAATCAAACTCTTTTCTTCCTGGGTGCTGCAGAGGCTTCACTCTCACAGATTCTCAGATTTTGCTTTGCAGAGCTCCATTTTTGATGATGATAAGCGGAACAGTCCTCTTTCAAACATCCCCAGGGAGAATCTGAGAAGGCATTTACAAAACAAAAGTGGGAAAGGATGAAAAAAGTGATTTACTCCTTGATTCCCCTCCCCCTCCCTGGGTGTTTTTCTTGGGGTCCCTGCCTCTCTCCCCCACATCGACCTTCTCTTGGCTTCTCCTCCCTGGGCTGGCCTGACAAGTGATTTATAGCTAATCAGAGCCTTTAATCGGGTGTCCTGGCTCTCTGGCCAGACTTTCATCCAGGCCCAGATCACCTTTCTCACTTTTTGGAAAGAAAAACAGTGAGGCAGAAAAGAGCCGACTGGCTTCCTTCATGCAGTGGGCTCACTTGTCAGTCTGCAAGGACAACCTTTCTAAACAATCCTGTTCAGAAGCAGAGTTGGGAAGAGCTGCTTCTATCCTGGGTATCTCAAAAATGTTCCTTTTGTGTGCGTGTGTGTGTGTGTGTGTGTGGTTTCTCCTGCTGCTTATTTACCACTGTAGAAGAAGGTAGGAAATCGGCGTGAGGCTCTGCACTCTCCTAGCCCCGGGAGGGCAGGCCAGGAGGGGCAACACTCCCACAGCAGAGTTTGCACATCAGACGGGAGACACATCGGAGGGACTCCCACCTTGTGCAGGACACCCACTAGGGAAAGCGAGGGTCTCCTTTGGGGCTCCCAGGGCACCTGAATCTTTTGTCCAGGGGCACCCCCCTCGGCTGCTCCCCTCCCTCCCTCCAGCTGATCCCCCTGCCTGCCTGTGGGGTAGCGGCATTTGTTTCTCCATTTGTTCACCACACGCTCATCTATGGGGCGGGAGGTGGGGAGAAGATTCAGGAAATATTTTGCTAGCTCTAGAAATGGTTTATATTGCCTAGAAGTCTGTGTGAAATAAATCCAGCCTGCCAAAATGCACGTCAAAAGAAAGTAGCCCACCAGTCTCGAGCACATCAGCCATGGGGCAGCCGCTTAGCCGGGAGATGCTGCCCAAAATGCGGCTGCTTCTGGTCTCTTGCCAGCCCAAACCTGGGGCAGGCAGGTTAATTGGGGGTCAGTCAGTCTGATGGAGAAAGGCAGCCATTTGAGGCTGGGGTGGCTCAGGATGGGGGGAGGGGCATGGATTGCATGCCTCCCTTTTCAGATGCACTTTGTGGCCCTGGACCCTGTTTCTTTCGGTGCTCTTGGGTATTGCTCAGGGGAGAAGGCTGCATCTGGACTATTTGCAAACCAATTCCAAGGATTTTGCTTGGCAATGTTTCCCGGGAAGTGTGTTCAGGATATGCGTGCTCTTCTTTGCAGGAAGTGGGGAGGCGTAAACTATTTGGAGCAAAGCCCCTCTTCACAGCCCAGGACTCCTGGAATGGCAGGCAGAGGCCCAGGAGTCCTGGAACCACCCAGCAGATTGCAAGTGAGCCTTGAGGGTGGCACCAAGGCCTCTCCATGGCATCAAAAGCCATTCCTGCCTGAGCCTGGGCGGGGGGGGGAGGCTATGCTTGCAGCCCCAGCCAGTTTGCTGAGATGCAGCTCTTTTCTGCCCTGGAGCTCTAGCTTTCTAGCTCTGCCAGCGGCTCCCTTGGGGTGGGGTCCTCACAGGCACGAGGGCTCAACTAGCCCTTGATCCAAGTGGTCCTCAGGAGGGGACGGGGTGTACTGGGCTGTCCCTCCAAAAGGTGTTTTGGCTTCCTTTGAATCCCACCTGGATTGCCAGCTGGGCTGCTCCCATTTCCCAGCCTGGGGGCATTTTTCACATCAATGCTGCTCCAAAGATGAGCCTCCCTCGGGGCTCCCAGACAGGGGATGGCTGGGGAAAGAGGCTGCCTCTTGTGGACTTTGGGGGTGGGGAGAAAGGCCAGAGAGATGAGCACAGGCAGGAAGTGCTAAAAAAGAGAAAATCCTGCTCCCTTAGCTCTGTTTGCAACCCTTTTCTAAATTGAAATGGTGGGGGCAGTTAGCCTGAAAATATAACCATTTTGTCCAGCTTTGATGTGAAGGCAGGACACATGGCTGCACCCCTTGCCCTCCTGTTCCCCCCGCCCCCAGTGTGGCTGCTGGGACAGGCTTGGATAAACAGCCCCGCAATGGAAGACAAAGTGTGTTATGAACGGTGAGACAGCCCTGTTGATCTTCGCCTGGCTCTGTGCTCAGGATGAAGAAGTGCCAAGACAAGTGGGCCAGGGGCTGCAGCACAGCCAGTCCCCCCAACTCAGCTATGTAAACCCAGTTAATCACTTTCTGGAGATCTGCTGGGAAGAGTAAGCACAAGCTGGTGGTCAGAGTGGGTGGTTTGCAGCAGGCAGAAGTGGGGGGGGGCGTTTGATCCATTTGCTCTCACACTTCAGAAGAGGCAGAGTGGCAAAGTCAGGATGGTACACAGGTCAAAAAAGTCAAGATGACAGCCACACCGTAGGACTGAAAACCCAACTGCTTTGCTTCAGTTGTGCTGCTGCAGCAACCATTTCGACTTCTTTTACCCTTCAGACCGTCCTGATGGTGCTACCTGGCCTGCATGGGCTGAGGATGATGGTTTATTGTAGTCTCCTATTTGCTGGCATGCCATGAAGGGCTGGAATGACAGGCCCATCATCCTTAGTCCCAGGCTAGGAGTCCATCTCTTATTGGTTTTGGTTTGTTGAATTAATGTCATTTTTCAATGATTTTAGTTTGTGGTTTTATCTGTTTCTATGGATTTCTTTAGTTTCGTAAAGCATCCAGAGTCTATTGAAGTTGGGTTGGGCAGCTATAATAAATGAAATTAATTAATTAATTAATTAAATGATGTGATTAATGGTCCTTGGACCTAAACTGTAACATTCAAATTCCATTATTAAAAGGCACAA